CTCTCCCCTCCCGAGGCTGAAGGTCAACAGACGATCATGCTAAGCTTGCTAACAGCTCCACCCTCTGACTGCTGCAGGGGCGTGTCTTAGAGAGAGGTTTAGATACCAGAACACAGCCGCTGTGACGAAACTGTGCAGAACCACGTCACAGAGGAGAGCCATTAACCAATATGCAAATTAGCCTGCAGTACCACTGCTCTACCCATATGAGCAGCAAAAAGACGTTTTTAGACCAAATATTACAGATTTGAACAAATACACACAAAAACATCAATATTAGCACAGTAACAGTGCTATATAACATTTTAGACACATTCTAGACAGTTTTTCAGCTAAAAAAAGTTAATTTTGGGGTAAGTTACTCTTTAAAAAGAATTGCCTCATTGTTTTGATTTGAAACACACTAAAATTGGCTAAAATGAAGAGTAAACACTCAAAACTACACACTAACTATAAAATCCAAACATGTTAAAAGTCACAGATCTAATTAATAAAGTCCTGCTCTCACCGGCTCTTCATTGCCGCCTATCTCCATTCACATTTCGCCTCTTTTTATTTTCTTCTTCCTGTAGATTTTTTACTGCTTGTCAGATAACTTTGAGCCTCAGTCAAAAAGGAGGTCTGGGGGGTTATATATATTTTTTTTTTCGGTTTAAGCAAAAGATGGGACTGACGATGGACAGCAGTGTTTTTTCCACGAGATTACAGTGTTTCCTGCTCGCTTCGGCAGAACGTTCTTTTTCACAAAAAAAAAAAAAAAGTAAGATTTGCCATTTATCTTAACTCTGGTTTTCTTCTCTTGACCTATCGACACAATTTAAAAACTGCTGTATAGTTTGAAGTCTCTACTTTTGACACAGTTTGTAACGGAGTCTCATGAATGAGTTTTCTCCTATAAAAAATGGAGATTGAAATCACGTGACTGAATGACATCACGCCAACTGCGAGAATTTCTGTAGAACGAAGAGTTTTTAGAGTCTAGCTGACTAAGTTTCAGCTCCCTGATGAGAAAAGCAACAGACAGAACAGAACAGAACAGTATCAGTCCTCCTCTTCCTCCACACAGACGAAGCCACTCACCATGTTGTTGACATTTTTCAGGATGTTGGTGAGGCCGCTGATAACAATGGAGAACTTGTACTTGGAGATGTTGATCAGACACTCCTTGTTGTGTTCTGTACTGACTTTACTGTGGGTGTTCTGCTGTCCAACTTTAATGGGAAGCTGCAGGAAAAGAACAGAACAAGTTATCAGTGCAACATTCATTATTCGTTCAACAAATAATAATGATGATACCC